AAGAAAATAAAGATTTTGAAGATAATACAGCATAATGAAAAATAATTTTTACTTAAATCTGAGCTCAATATTTTATTTCATGGAGTTAGCATAATAAATGCTCGGGTAATCCCAAGGATCTGAAAAAAGACTATTTCATAAGAAATAAACATCATTCCCATACTGGCTTATGTCATGATAGTTCAATGTTAAATGCTCAAACTATTTTGTTGAGAAGTAAGCAAATATTTACTCAATGGTTCCGAAATATACAGGGAACACATTTTTAATTTCTCAGGATTATAAAAATATAACAGCTTTTATTCATTTGACCCTTAAATAAATTTGACCCTTAATTTCTAACAAGGCCTTTTTTCAAATTTATTAAAGTATACCAAATTCTTTGTTGTTTTATTTTTAAAAGTATATGAAATATTTCTGCTTGAAAGTTTAAAATATATGAACAATTGTACCAAGATGAGAGTGAGACATTTCAGTATTTTTAGTTTATGAAGAAATGTAAAATTAAGAGGCTGAAAAATGAGGAATGAAAATCCAAATATTACATAGCCCAAGTACCAATCAATCACAAAAGCAAAACAGACTGCTCAGAATAGTCGGCAAGCATAGACAACCCATCCTGCCANGAAAAAAAAAAAAAAAAAAAAAGGTCCTTCACTTCTGTTGAGCTTTCTTTCCAAACCCATAACTTCAGTCTAATCATAAAAATAACCAAACAAACACACAAATTCTAACAGTGAGACACTCTACAAAATACCTAACCAGTACTGCTCAACACCACCTAGGTTATTAAAGAAAGTCTGAGTACTTGCTGCAGCCGAGAGAAGCCTGATGAGATATAACAACTAAATGTAAGGTGGTCCTGGAACAGAAAAAGGGCATTAGGTAAAAACTAAGGAAATAAATTATGAACTTTAGCTAATAATATGTATCAATATTGGTTCATTAATTATAATAAATACACTGTACTTATGTAAGGAGTTACTAATAGGGCAAACTGGTCGCAGGTTGTATGGAACTCTCTGTACTACCTTCTTAGTTTTTCTATAAAAGTAAAACTGTTCTAAAAATAGAACATTTAAAAAACTTTCACCATCTCTCAACTCTTTAGACAAGAAGTTAAAAAGTTAGTACTTCTAACACTTGGAGCTCCTATTCTGCTCTAGAAACAAGGGCAGGGATCTGAGCCTTGAGACACTAAGCCCCTCAATACGCACTCATAGTCTTCAAGAAGTTGATGGAACTCAGAGAGTTCAGTTGGCAGTGCTGCACAAGCAATGATGAAATTATCCTGAGCATCATTAAATATTAACAAAACAAAAACAATTTGCTTAGCACTTCATATGTTGCCTTCTACCTTCTCAGTTTTATATTTGTACAAAAGAGCTGTGAGTGAAAATGATACAGCTCTAATCAATGGGAGTTTACATTTCTGACCGGAGGTTCCTAGCCCAACTTTACAAAAAATATGAACACCGAAATGAATCAATTTTAACCATAAATAAATTGCTATATACTTTACATTATGTGACACATATATAAACCAAACAGGGGGATTCAATAACGAATCACATTTCATTTAGTAACTCAGCAGCAGAATTATACAGAGTGGGATGAAGGACTCTGATAGAGCACAACGACCTTTGAGCAGTGTCTAAGGGTAAGAGCTGGAAAGAGAAATGAGTGAAAGGCCAGGAGGAAAGGCACCCGAGACACCCGGATCCAGTCCAAGCATTGGCTGGCTGGCATATTTGGTGATGGTGCCATGTATCAAAAGAGAAACCTGCAGTCTGCTCCATCTTCACTGGATGGTAGAGGCTGCCTGTATGATATGTATTCGTCAGGCAAAGCCCCACACACCTCTAAGTCTTTGAATTCCAGATCATTAATTCATTACCCCCTCTCTTTTAACACAGAATCTACCTCAGATCTGAGTCACACATCAAAATCAAAAGCAGAGTCTTGTACAAAAGCAGAAACCAAGAAATTTTAAAAGCAGTATTAGAAAAGTTTAGGGTTTGAAGTAAGGAGAAAAAGGTATCTGAGATTAAATCTAGATCAGCATGTCTCTAGGACAGAAGAAAGGGTAACTAGGTCGGCTGGCAGGCCCTCCCACTGTCATAGGTGGATTTATTTCCAGAGACACTTTTTTTCCCTCTAATTCTTTACTCAACAGTCAGCAAGCAAATTCCTAGCACAAATGGCTCATGGAAGCTTCCCTCTGGAAAGAAATTTCTCAACATACATTAGTCTCATATGAATTTAGGTATTAGAAAAACTAGTTTGTGTTGTACAATCATTCCCAGATGCTGTACAAAGTTTTGGATCTTCAGACATGTGAGATATGTCAGACTATGGAGGAACAAAACAAAACAGGATGAGGCCTATCTACCTGTCTTCTACATCCCCAAGTTCTATACCATTATGGATAGTTCACTCTAATAATTAAACCAAAAAAAAAAAAAAATTACAAATACCTGAGCGAGCAATGCCACTGTCCCTGTCTTCATTCTGTCCTCTGCTTGGCATATCAACTGGTGTGCTGTGTGCTAAGATAAAGGTATAAGGAAACCATGTTATTGGGCTCTCCAAAGAGAACAAAGTTTTAAAAATGACTGTGGTTAATTTTTACATTTCAAAGTAGGCTAGTGCTACTGATGATTGGCATAAGTTCGTAATAGAGTTGAACTAGAAAGCAAAATTAAATACATAAAAAGATGATGAGAGTAAGAAGAAAACAGAACCAAGTAAGCATCTGCTTTTATCCTACTGGAGCATATAAACTTTGAGTGATATTTAATTCTTAAAAAACCTAAATAATAAACTATTCATACAGTTGATACAATGAATAAACTTTCTCAGGCAGATATTTTTAGCTGTTTTCCTAATTATTAGTAGTAGTTCAGTAGCATTGTATTTTAAAATGCTTTATAGTCAGTTTCAGTAGTAACCATAGGCAACTTAGGGAAGAGAAACTCCTGAAAACTATATCATAAATTCAAAAAATGTTTCTCTGTTTATAACCCACTCTCTTGGCAGGCAGAAAATATTCATTTTCAAATATTTCTTCCTCTACTTCTTTTCCATATACATCCGTACACTATATTTTTGTAGAATTACTTAGAAAAACTCATGTCCTGGCATGAATTTTGGAAAACAAAGTATTGCAGACTTCTAGGAATGCTTCAGATTGATCTAAGCTGTATAATGATTGAGTTAGAAGGTAGATGGAATGTTGCTAGAGTAAGTTTTACAATATACAAGAAGCCCAGTGCCCTGCCTGATTATTATACTTGTCAGCTATTTTTTGAAGCATGTTTATTTTCACAATTTTAAAGAGAGTTTATAAACACGTTATCCTCACTCTAAGTAGGTGGGAGGGTGTCAGTTTCATCAGGGTGTCAGTTAACTACAATACTTTACATATTTCAGGCTACAAAGAACAGAATGAAAAATTTGCAATACTCACAACCTTAAGTGTTAGTAGTGAAGGTTCCCCACACTTGTTAATCATGCCTAGACCACAACAGACATTCAACAGTCTTAGCTAGTAAGGCCAGTTAAATCTCAGAATTTACCCAGAGATATCAAGATGGATTATACCTGTAAAGAACCTAGAAATTGCATTTCAGCTATGAGAAAGAGAGAAAGAGAGAGAGAGAGATCTTCCATGCTCTTATTACAGTAACTTTTAAAGAAACTCCGTGCAGGTAAGGATGCAGGTGATTAAATGGATAAAAGATACTACAGCAATGGGGGAACAGTTCATAACAGCAAAAGAGGCCCAGGAAAATCAGAAAAAATAATCCTCTTAGAAACACTAAGGGCTCATTTCAGATCAAAATCAGCTTACACTTGGGTATTAGCAGAGACACTTACAATAGAGGTTCACTGGTGGAATTTTCAAAAACACCATGAATTTGGCTGCACTTGAAATTAATATCTTTTATCACAAGAGCCCCTTGGATTTCTAGAGAGGCACAAATAGGATTTTTTCTGAGAACCTGCACAGAATTTATTAATGTGTGTGGGTCACACTGTACTCAGCATTCCACACAAACCTGCAAAGAAAGAAGCACTCCGGGTGAGCCGGAGAGGTCCTCCTTCAGTTACCCCCTGCAGCAGTTTGCTGCTGCATGCTTGTAGCAGACCTAGAGACAGAAACACATAGAAGAGGGCAAACAAAGTACACGCACACAAAAAATAAACACGGATTAAAGATAATGCCAGAAAAAAAAAAAAAACCAACACAAAACTACACAACAAACTCAAATATAGCAAAACACACATCCACAATAGTGATATTCAGAAAGAATAAGTCTGTTCGTGTGTCTGATTTTACCTAGGTTACTTCCAGTACGACAAGGACCCAAACTATTCTGATTTGTGTTCGGTTTTCCCAAATTAGGATCTTGGTTGATGTATTCAAAGCTGTCTTGCAAACTAAATCCAGAGAGGGAGAGAGAGGGAAAAAACGTCAAGAGGCTAATAAAGCTGCTTTCTAACACATTTCCAAATACAGACAACAGACTAATCAGTCACTCAATACTTTTCTTTATAAATAAAGTCTCACATCTACCAAAGGGAATTAAACTGGCAACCTTAGGAGAAATCGTTGGAGGAAAATTAAAGCTTTTGGGAGGTAGCCCAACCCATACAACCAAATAACTGTATTCCTAACAATTTCATATTATATAATGAAGCTCCAAACTCTAAATTTGGCTTCAGTGACTGACACCTGGAATACTGCTTATTATTTGTAAATTTTGCTGTAGCAACTGACATGCAAGATATTGCTATTCATTTCAAGGATTTTACATAAACTCTTGAAATGAGATTGATTTTCTCTTAGTTAACATCTAAGAACAATTCAGCAACTTTTTCAGAAGATATAACAGAAAGAGTAATTATGATTCTTCCAGGAGTTTGATTTCATAACTTCTAAAAAGTTAGAATTACTCATAAAAAATGTGAGGAAAGCAGATTTTAATAATTTATTGTATTTATTAACAAGAAAATAAAACAGGTGTGTCATCGGTCTAAAAAATCTCAGTATGTACTTCAATCCTTCAGAAGAAAATAAAAAAGGTTTGTAAAAAAGATAAAATATTGGGAAATACCATAAAATCATAAATGTAGCCCCCTCTTTTTTCCCCTTTATTTTTCATTTTCCCACAGGTGTGTCATCGGTCTAAAAAATCTCAGTATGTACTTCAATCCTTCAGAAGAAAATAAAAAAGGTTTGTAAAAAAGATAAAATATCGGGAAATACCATAAAATCATAAATGTAGCCCCCTCTTTTTTCCCCTTTATTTTTCATTTTCCAGGGAATTAAAACTTGGTGACTGGCAGGAGGAACACATAGGGTAACAGATGGAGAAGCAAAATTTATAGATAAAGACAGTCATTTGTCTTTAAGGCCACCTAAGGTCAAAGGCTTTTTCCATTCACTATTTATAGGACAATGGCCACTCTTAAAACCCCATTAATTTGTGCTCATTCTGCTTTTCGTTTCAAAATTCCTCATGGCCCTCAAAGAAATACTCTATCCGGAAATAGACACTTAAAAATGAGGGGGAGGGGGTGGTACAAAAATCCCACACTTACTTATTTGTACTTCCACAGAAGCTGCCCATTCTGGCAGAGAAGACTTTACTAATCATCAGTTGTGGAGGAGAACTGCAGGGGGAAAACAAAGTGGAGAGAGATGCATTTTTGAATTAAGGAGTCAATATCACCATTCCACTTCTCACAGCTAGTAGAAAAAGAAGCCCAAACTCACCGTATATAGTGTATCTTTAAGGTGGAGCCTTTGTAACTCATTGCAACTGAGCCAAACATCATTTCTCCTAGCATATTGATATCAGAAGCTGGCCTCGTGTACTATATGAAAGATATCAAAATCAAAGTTAGTACATGGAATAACACCGTTTGCACTGCAATAGAAAATAATGTTTCTTAATCTCTGAGTACCTCTTTATTCAGTGGGTAATTACAACTATTTCTCAAAGCTTCAATTGATCATTTTACAGTTTTAATCTACAATACTGATTACCTATTTTTTCCCCTCACGTTAGTACTAATGTTCTTTGTTATACACAATACCTTCACACAGGATTTAAATGTTTTATCAGAGGTCATTTTTAACCTTGTTACAAGAAACAAATATTATCATTATCGCCATTTATAAATTTTAAATAGATTAAATTATAAAAGAAACAGGATAACTCTTCTCTTGGTACTAAGAACACATCCTGAAAAAAAAAATGGTTCAGTATTATTCAACCAAATAATTAACAGTGTTGATCAGAAATGCCAGTTGGTGCAGGCAGGGTTTTGTGAGGGTGCAAAAGATAACAGATGGCCTAATAACTCTAAAGTTTTACAAAAACTTTCAAAAATACCTGATCCCTCCAGCTTCTGACCAATCTTTCTCATGCCTTTTGTCATCCAAAAGGGTGTACTGCACTGTCTCCACTTTTTCCGCTCTCATTTGCTTGTTAACCAACTGCAGCCTGACTTTGCCTCTAATGGTCCATCTATTCCAACTACTCTAATCATGACCACTGCCTTTATGTCAAATCCAATGGACACCTTCCAGTTTGCTTCATTAAACTTCTCTCACTTATACAGATGGCTCCTCAACTTACGATGGAGTTACGTCCAGATAAACCGATCTTAAATTGAAAATTTCATTAAGTTGAAAAGGTATTAATATCACTAACCTACCGAACATCATAGCCTACCTTAAATGTGCTCATCAGAACACTTACATTAGCCTAGAACTGGGCAAAATCATCTGACACAAGGTCTATTTTATAATAAAGTGTTGAGTATCTCATGTAATATATTGACTAATGTACTGAAAGTGAAAACCAGAATGGTTGTGTAGGCACTTGTAGTATGGTTTCTACTGAATGTGTATCCCTTTTGCACCATCATGAAGTTGAAAAATTGTAAATTGGGGACCATCTGTATTTGATGCTGTTAATTACTATTCTTTTTGAAACTCTTCCTTCTCAGATCATCCCTTGAACATGTTGTTCCTTGGAAGGCACTCCTACTCATTGCCTGCATTTCAATCATTCTTCTTATTTTGATTATTATTTACATAGAAATACAACCTACATCTTTATCTCTAGGTCCAGACCTCTCCTCCAGCTCTAGAATCCTATATCCCAATGCATTCATCCACATATCAAATATTATGTGATATTTGAATGAATGCATTGTGATAGTATTCTTAGCACCTATGCTAAGTGCTGGTGACACACTGACAAACAGGACAGTATGTGAATGCTGAGCAAACCAGTGTGCCACAAGTAATCCAGCCTGACTAAAACAAAACAACCATCTCTCTGCACCCCAACCCACCACCCAGATTTTATGCAAGTGTGCTTTCCACTCAAGGAAAAACATGGGAATCATCCTTAATGCTCTCTTCTGAATTTATTTATTTTTTAATCCCAAATATGCACACATATACATATATACACACAAGTATACATACACTGACACACATATACACACCTACTTATACATGGTTGCAGAGCAGGAAAGAGAAAGGTAAGTCTATCAGCTTTGTTCAACGAGGTTCCTCTCTTTGTTTGGTTATAGCTCACACCAACCTCTTCGTACTACATGCAGACAGAAACCAACTGGCTTTCACATTCTCTATTAATAACTTCCACCCACTTCCTCCATTTTATAATCTACTTTTTCTTGGGGTACAAGGGCCATGTAGCAACTGTGATTCTCAGCTAGCTGAAAATTTCATCGTATACTTTTAAAAGTGCAAATAGGAGAACTGTGAAACAAGGGCAAATGCATGGTATAAATCCTGACTATGAAATTAACAAAGTCTTATACACCTGTGGCTGCTGGTGATTTCCGTGGTTTTGCCTTTTCAGCAACATAGTAGACAAGATTCTATATAAGTTTTTTTTAAAAAAGCTGGATATATCCGAATGCATGGTATAAATCCTGACTATGAAATTAACAAAGTCTTATACACCTGTGGCTGCTGGTGATTTCCGTGGTTTTGCTTTTTCAGCAACATAGTAGACAAGATTCTATATAAGTTTTTTTTAAAAAAGCTGGATATATCCCCCATCGATTACTACCTTTGTACTATTATTTCCAAAACATTTCTTCCCTTTTATCTAGCTAGCCAATACTTCTCAATAACCCTAACCTCTATCCTCTGCTGCCACATACACACAAAGAGTGTAAAAAATGCCACCAGCCCTCTATCCTTCATTTTCAGGTTACGTCTTGCCATTTTTCCTTCTCCTATACAAGGCTTTCTTCCTTTTATTGGCAAGTTCTATTCTCTTAGGATGCCCATATACACATTCCCAGAATCCTTAGGAGTTCTTGTAACAAAACTGAAAGTACATATTTATTATTCTGGATCTGACAGCAAAGAAAACAAAACTATATAATTTACCTAATTTGCAATATTTCTTCCTCATTCCATATGTATTATGCCATATCACCTCTGCTAGATTACAGTTTTTGAGAGAGAAGAGCCAGAGTGAGAAAACAGCATTGACATGTAACATTTAAGAGTATTCTGTTGAATACTTGTTCTCATATACCTGGAGTAGAACCCTCAAGCAGGCATTATTCCCTGCAGAAAAATTACAGCAAATTACTTCAATACCATAGGACATTCCCTCAGAAAGGATGGTTTTACCTGGTACTTTGGAAGCTGCTCCTTAGTATATTGTAAAGATCCTCCAGAAGAACTATGGGAAGAGATGCTGCTGCTGCTGCTGGTGATGCTACTGCTTCCTTGACAGCACTTGGCTGACATTTTAATAGGGACATCCTCTGTTTTCTGGGTTAAGGGAGACAGGCAAAGTAAAGGAATACTAAGTATTTACTAGGTTTTGTTGACACATTCTTCATTGGGAATTCCTTTGTTAAAACATTCTACTAGCTGCATTAAAAACCAGAAATTTTTTGGGTTTGTAAAAAAATTTCTTTTTTTTTTTTTTTCCTTTTTGTCTTTTTTCGTGTCCGGCAACGGATCGCAACCCTCAGTGTCGCGCCCGTACCAGACCGGGACCGGCAACGGGATCGCAACCCTCGGTGCTGCACCCGCACCTCGCTCAGCCAGTGAGCGGGAACCAGTCTGTATGTGGGATCTGAACCCTCAGCGGGAGCGCTGCTGCGCTCCCAAGCAGCGCACTGTAGCAGTGCGCCACCGGACCGGCCCTAAAAAAATTTCTAATGATGACAAAAATATGGTTCCTGAGAGTATGTAATATTTTGGAAGAAGGAATGCTGAAGTAAAGGTACTAGACAAAAGGTAGTGGGTTGTATATTAAGAGTTTATTCACCTTAAATAATTTAACTATTAATTACGTTTCTTTAAAATCATCAATGACAACCAATCTCTGTTTTGGTTATTAGAAGATTTTTAGTACTATGTAGAGTCATAATGTATGAAATTGATGAGAAGAAAGACAAAGCTTTAAATTTAAATTTTTATAAAGCAAATGCAACTAAGGAAACAAAACTATTAATCTGGCTAATAAACACATACTGGGCTTTTGTTTTTAATGACACACCTCCTCTAATACTTCTTTAAAAGAAACAGGAAAGAAAATCATGAAGCTGAATTTGTGAAGGATGAAGTCAAAACCTGAAAGAGGAGCTACTGTGAATTACGCAGCATGTGATGGAAATACAGTCTTTAAAGGTTAGGGCTAATAGACAATTGTTTTTTCTATATATTTCATAAATAGAGTTCATTGCTAATTTTTATGACAGTGACACAAAAGTATACAGATACACCTTTATTAATTTTTACCATTTCCACCAGAATATATTACTCCCTACAGAAGGATCCTGAACCCTCCATAAGTTGTTTCTATTCTGAGTCTTCTTTGCCTTTTTTCCCCTTGTGCAGCTTTTGCTTGGAAAAACATGAATGCACTTGCAGCTTATCTAATCTCCAATGTGACAGTCACACTGGTGGTCTAATGCAAATGCCTGCAGTCATGTGCTTGATACAAACTCATGACATTTTTGTGCTTGCCAAAGGGGATGGGGGGGGGGTTGAAAATGGGAAAAGAATGTAAGAAAAACACAAAATGTGCCGGTCCATAACAGTCACTCTAGCAATGATAGCATTCGAAGTTGTACTTGGTTATTCCCAAGCATCCAGGACTCCCTCAATACCCTTTTCAGATCTAGCTGTTACTTAATATGACTTAAGCCAGAAACACAACCACTCAGAGGACTTAAAGTGACATGAACTCCCACCTGCCTCACAGACTGCTAGGTCCTTTGGCTGGAACACGACACTGAACAGTCTATAATTGGAGGTAGCATCCAGTACAGTGAACAAAGCACCGAATGAATTCTTCTGCAGCCTTGGGCAAGCTACATATTGAAGATTTCAGTTCTTTTTGAAAAATGTTGAGAATTTCTTTCCCTCCACTTGCCACTACCATTAGCAGCCCTAGTGATGAGATGTCTGAGCGCTCAACTAAACCGTCTGTGTGAGGCCTTCAGGAAAATGGAAAATGATATGAGAAATCAAGAGGTAACCATCTCCTGTCCACCAGACAAAGGGTCAAATGCTGGCTCACCTAAACTTTTGATACAAATCTACCATTAAAGCCTACAGTGAATCACCTGAGAGATTTTCCCCCTCACCCCCTGTCCACTTACCTAACAAGCCCAACAACTACTGTAATGATTAGCTACCTGGCAGAATTCCACTTTAAAGTACTGTGGAATCCACCTAGCTAAACTGCCTTTAACCAAACACTTCCTTCCTGCAGAAATGATCCTTATCAAAAGCTGGAAAACAGTCTCTTGGCCCTTATGAGACAAAGACTGTGTTATAAGCTGTTCATTTACTTAGCCACATATTCTACAAACTGCCAGAATTTGGACAGTATGGGTAGCAAGTTATTGAGCATAAAAAGAATGAGTACAAATAGGTTTATTTAATTTGTAAGCATGTGAACAAATGTTGAAAAGAGACTGAAAGGTCTAAAGGTAACAACTTAGAAGTATTCTAGTCTCATATGCAGAAAGACTCAGGGAGAATCAGACTCTTCTCACCTTCAACATGTTACTTTCCCTTTCCCCTTCTGGCTCCAAGGGATCAAGAGCTGCTTTGTCCTTACTCTAGCAATCCCTAGTCCCACTACGCCCTGCCCCACAACACCCCACTCTCTACAAAACAAAACAAAAAAAAGGAAATGAATAAAAGTTTCCTTGATCAGATGGGCTTAAGAAACACCCCCTCTTGCCTCTTGAAGATGATAATGCATATCGGCATATTGAAGCCCTACTTGAATATAATGAGTAAAGCTATTTAATTTTGTTTAACCCAGTGCTATGTAATATCTCTTATTATCTACAAGAAACACTGGACAGAATGATCCATTAACTTCCCTTCATATCACTTTATGAATTTTAGAGTTTTGTTTTCCCATTACATTTGATGCACAACTTGGCATCAAAATCCTACTGGATTGCAACTCACCAGCAAATTCACCTCTAGTAATACTTAGAATATACTGCTTAGCTCCTGTCATAATCACTTGCTAGCAATTTCACCTGTATTTATTAATAAGCACACACATGTCTGTCAGGGGTTGGGGCAGAAGGCTTTATTTATGTTTCTTCTGAACCATAATAGCAGTGTATGCTATAGCTCAAAGAGAACATGGCAAATTAATAAATTGCCAATCAGAGGTAATTAAAAGCACAAACTTTTCACAAAAAAGGTGGAAGCAAATCAGTATTACATACCTGAGCTGCCACCTCTTCAATCTTTTGAACAGCTTTAGAATCAAACAAGACTTGTCTGCCTCTTCTTTCACAGTCTTGGTAAACTATCAGGCGAATCTCATTCAGGTCAAACTCCGAACATGACCAACTGTGGATTAAAAGGGGACAAAGAAGTTATGTTATTGGCAACATTTGGGGTGATCCTGGACAGGTAAGTTTCTCAGCCAATGCGCCTATATGCAATGGGAAAAGGCCACAGGTGTGCGGAGACAGTGACCCCTTCAGACCTGAGGCAGCTAGTAAGCCTGGGGCAGACACCCTTATATGTGGACTCCAGTGGGCCACACAGATAGTGCCAGTTTTCATGACAAAGGTTGGGAAGACTGCTTTAAATAATAAATCACTGTAGAGAAAGCTTCTACTTCCAAAGCAAATGTGGGCACAGATGGCAGCCAGATATTGCAAGGACATGCACAGAGAGCTAAATTTGGATGCCTGGATCTCAGATGGCACACCGAAGTTAAGGGAGTACTCAAGCTTCTGCGTCATTGGGCCAGGAACCATTTGAAGCAAATCTGTAGAGCCTTTTCCTTTTTCCCTCTCACTCAGGTCAAATTGAAAGGAATCACATATCCTAAAATGCATTATTTTCCCCTGTTATGGCTGGCTCTAATACAGGAGTTTCGACAGCCAAGTGCATCATTGTATGGCATCTGAATCGCTAACAATTAGAGTCAGCAATAAAGTAAGTATGGCTTGTTCCTAAGCAAACCAAAAGCTATTGGGATAAAACTGCTCTGAAGAAAATAAAGGTTTATTCTTGAGCAATAAATGACATCAGAGTGCGGGAACTACAGAAAAAGCAATCATTTAAAATGTACTGCTTTGGGCGTATTCAGTTATCAATCCATTAATTCATTCAACACAGATTTGAGTGCCTCTTATTTTCCAGGCACAGTGGCAGATGCTAGAGATTCAGCAGTTAATTAACCATACAGGCTTGGTCCCTGCCCTCATGTAGCTTATAGTTTAATGGGCAAATATTAGACTAAAAATCATATATAAATGTATAACAAGTTGTCAAAAGTGCAAAAAGGAAAAGTAAAGAATAGTGACAGAGTCCCAGATCTCCCAATTTAAGAGGTGGGGCATGGTGCAAGTAAGTCCCTCAGTACTTGAAGTAACATTTAAACACAGACCTGAAGAAGTAAGAGCCAAAGAGATAAAGTGAATGAAGAACACAATAGGAGGGAGGGACGGGGTAAGGCATGGTTAGGTGTAAGATTGCCTCAGTAGAGAAAGGGGGAAAAAAGAAAGTCAGAGAGAGTGCTGTGACACTGATTGCAAAGGCAAGTAGGGATCATGCTCTAAGTGCAATGAGAAGCCAAGGAAAATAGGTGGTTGATAATATCAGATCTACGCTTTTTAAAATTCAATCTGGCTGCTCTAAGCAAAATGGGGTTGAGACAGATTAAGATTGGAAGCAGCAAAACCAAATAGAATTTACAGTAAGAGTTCAGGCCCTGCAAAATGAAGGCTGGTTGACAGCAATGGAGGTGGAGGAAAGGAGACAAACTGCAGAAATTTTCAGGAGGCAGAATCAAGAAGAGTTAGTGATGGAATGGATGGCTGCTTGAGGCAAAAGGGGTGTCAAATGCTTAGATGGAGAAGTTGGAGGAGGAAGTAGGAGAGGAGTTTTGAAGGGATAGAGGACAGACAGATAGATAAGTAAGACTAACAAAAGCAAACTGTAAAACTAAGAGACAGTACAACTGCAGTGAAGTCCAAAACATCTGAATTCAAATCCAAATGCTCTAACTTCTCTTTCTTCTCCAATACATGGAGAATATTAATGCTGACCCCATGAAGCTGTTATATGGATTATATGAAATATATAAAGTGCTTCATACAAAGGGTGACACACACTAAGTGCTCCAAAACGGTAATCATTACCTCAGAGGATTGTCAATGTTAGGATTCTTAAAGAAAATTGACACAGTGTCTGGTACCAAATCACAAATTGTGCAGTTTTGGTCATTTTCTTTTTTCAGGCAGTGTTAGTTTTAGTGTGGCAGATTTGTTTTCTTAAATCCAGCAGCAAATAAATAAATAAAGTTCTGGTTGTACCTTCTTTCAACAACCTGTTTTCTAAGCTATCATGCCCAGCATCCATTCCTACTAATGTTGATGACAACACAGCAAGTTTATTTTGGAAAACATTTTTCCTCTACTCTCAGTCCAGAGGTAGTCCATGTTCCAGGTCTGGCCAATGAGACATGCCCACGTAACCCAAGCTGGGCTGACAGCCAGCCCCAAACTTAGCTGCTCAGCTCATAAATGGTAACCCTGGAGTTGCTGGTGGCTATTTTTGCCATCACCAGATAAAAAGCCTGTCTGAAAATGAAGTCAACATGGAGGAGAGCAGAGGAGAGCAATGGAATGAGACAGATTCCTGTTGGGACTGGAAGCCAGCTGTTTCTGAATGAGTGCTATTCCTGGTGTTAGTTTTCTGTCACTAACAGCCAACAGTCTGATGACTACGACCCAAACCACTAAATTTTAAAATTACACAAGGCCATTAAAAACACTCTCTGAAATGATATATTACTAAAACATAGTATACAGGTGGAAGTTATTAAAAGTAAAAAAATAAAAATTTCTTGTTCAATCTATTTTGTGCCAATAATTACATTTTGCTGAAATAGTATTATAATTTACAAAGCAAGTTGTTCAATCCTTATTTTTGAGGGGGTAACACTGGTTCAGATATCAACTTGACTGAAGAAAGGCTGTCTAGAAGAACTAAAATTTAATAATGATCATAATATCTTATTTAATATTTCATGTTATTTTTCAATTTAAAAAAGATGGAAATAAAAGATACAGGAGGGGAAAAGTATGTACATCTTTTCACCCAAATGCCTGAAAAGTATTTTATAAAATGAGGAAAACTCTATTATTGATATGAATACTGTCTTTCATTTAGCACCTAATTATAATTTTGACACTTACCATCTCCAATATTAGTAGAGGAAGTTACAGTTGAATAATTTGGTAAAGGAAATAGAAGCAGGACAAAGTCCCTAAATAAGTATTTCAGAATAAGATAATCCTGGGATCAAATCTCAGCTCTGCCTCTCACTAGTTTTATAGCCTTGGGAAAGTCTCCTGGGTAGCACATGCAGGGCCTCTTGTGAAGATTAAAGAAGATAATCTATGGAAATTCCCAGCACACTGCCGGCTCCTTTTCTTACCATCCCTGATATACAGGACTTGAATTATCATTAGTCACATACACATACATTCTCCTCATATTTACACGCACTTCTACATCCAACCAACAGTTATGAGCACTGACCATGGTGCCCAGTGCTTTACTAAGGACAACTCTCCATGTGACTGTGGGCAATTCTCTGCATGATTCAAAGGGGTATGAAAAATGAGCCTTGGGCTTTTGCCTTAAAATAACTGACCATTTCAGAGAGATGTATTCTAATCAGAACTACCTCATTTCTTCGCTTTTGTTGAAAGCAAGGAAAGAACAGTGCCCTGGCATCAGAGGACAAGGTACTATTTGTCTCCTTTACATCTACTTTATGATTTCAGGTACAAGAAAATATGACTCATCTACCTTTTCTTACTGTAAACCTTAAACCAAATGACTTCTATAGACCCTGGTTTAAAAATTCCATGATGTGGGCTGGCCAGTTAGCTCAGTTGGTTAGAGCACAGCCTTATGACACCAAGGTCATGGGTTTGGATCCCTGCACTGGCCAGCCAAAACAAACAAAATAAAAAATAAAATTCTATGATGCTAAGATTTGCCTGATTACAACTAGAACAGATCTTATTTCTGGACCTACTTACGAAGACTAGAAAGCAAGTAACCAAAGTCCGAATTACTTGTTCTGAAAGGCAACAAGCAATTAGTTCAAAACATTTGATGTCCAGAAAACAGAATTTTCTTTAAATATATATATAACCACGTGTCATGGTTTGAATTGTCTCCCAGAAAGATATGCTCAAGTCCTAATTCCTGTATATGTAAATATGACTTTGTTTGAAAATAGGGTCTCTGCAGATGTAATCAAGTTAAGATGATGATATAATAAATTAATATGGGTCCTAATCCAATGACTGGTGTCTTCATAAGAAGAAAACTTGGACAAAGAGAGGGCATAATGAACAAGGGACTCACTGCAGACTGAGGGCACAGCACAAACACAAAAAGACAAATGGTACAATTCAGTCTTGGGTGCTTAGAATGTGTGTACTGCAGAAGAATTGCATAGGAAATGAGGCTGGAAAGACAGTCTAATACTTATTGTGGGGGACCTTAAATACTATGCCAGGGAATGTATATTTTGTTCTATGAGCAGTGGTGTGTCAATTCCAAGTTTTCAAGAAAGAGAATGACATGAAGTGACTTGTTTTAAGAAGAAGAGTCAAGTGTGAGAAGGCTGTTTTCAGGGCAAATGCACAGGTAGTATTTGTATGCCCACAGTTTCAAGGAGTAATGGCTAATACGGAAGTGAGTAACAGTTGTATAATTCATGGCATGGTGATTTGCTATATCTTCCAAGACCAGTTCAAGTGTGGATGTTAACTCTTCTCTCAAACTTTTATAGGAATCAGACTAAAAGTGGGCATGACAATGCCCATCTTGAAAAGCATCATCTATGTTTTCCCTCTTGTCTCTCACACAAGGAAGTAACCCTACAAAGTAAATAAATTCACATGAAGAGTTTAAAGAGCAATCTGTGATCTAAGAATGTAAATGTTTAAAGAGTCAAGTATGACAGGGAATTTTAAATTGCCCAAGAGAAGGTAAAATGAAACAAAACAAAAACAAATGATCATGATCACAAAATCTGGCAAATATATCCATTTAACAAGCAGTTCCTGCATGCCTACTGTATGCCAAACATTCTACCAGGCACTGAATAAAACAGTGAACAAATCATAAGCCCTGCTTCTACAAAATTTACTGTATTTATGATATTTTCTAGCCACTCTTAAATCTTATTCTATGTTCTTTTTTTCCTGTGAACTCCCACCACTTGCATATTCTCCCCAAAAAACAGTTTCTAAATGCAAGCAGAAAAGGTTTGCTCAAGAACAGCGAGCAGGCCTGAATTACTATAACCT